ATATGTGAGGGAGAGAAAAAACCCCAGTCAAAATATACAAAAATAGAAGTCTGAATTTAAGAACTTTTAAAATGCAATTCCCGCAATCAAAGAATTAATGCACAAAACTCAACGACTGACTGTGTAATCTCTGCATTCTTATCTGAAGGAGCCAGTGAAGCCTTGCTTTGTTTGTATTAATGAGCCCAGGTGTCCTATCGACTAATGGGGTAATAATTTTAAGACAAGACTCACTGTAAAATGGACAGCTGAAGAACATAGGCTCTACCGATTCAACCTCGCCCTAAAAGGCATGGGCATAGCCTTTCAGAGTAGGGAGTTTTATTGTACCTGCCTTGAATAACCGCAGATGGAAGGGCAGAACATCTAGCTAGGGCAAATGCCGTTCTGGAATTCTTTCTCTCCACTGAAGTCAAATATATTGCCAGCTCAATGGTGCTTTTGATATTTAACAACATCCTGAGTTTGGAAGCCTTAGAGATGTCTGATTGTCACTCAATATCCTCAACTCTTTGTCCTGGCAGAAGAATGTTTAAAATAAACTTCTAAAGCAGTCCTTTGTGCTGTCCCTTTAATATCAGTTGGATTGGCAGCAATTACTGGCCACTGGTCTTCTGCTTCCTGCCACGACTGTCCATTTCTGCATATTAAACCTCTAGCAAAGAGACAGAGCCTTCCACCCCCCAGTCAGTTGCTAACCCTACCTGTGGTGTACAACTGTACCCCAAAACATGCACACTGAATTTCACGCTGCCAGCTCAAGGTTCAGAATGACAATGTGATTGACAGACATGCAAAAAAAAGGCTTCCAAGTTCAACAAAAGGCCTCGCTGTACTCACCAATAAATTGTACACACGGAAGCCACATCTTTTTTAAAAACACACACAAACAGAATCAGTTAAAAATCCCGACCCAAGCAGGCTCGTACCCCAGCAGTTTGGAGCCTGCACAAGACTTCAAAGCTCATTTCTAACGGCCGGATCTGATGGATCTAATTTTTCCCAAGTCAAAACAGACCGCCTGTGCTCCCTTTATTCCCAAAACAGAATCTTGGAAGCAAACTTGTTTTGCATCAGTGACCTTTCACCAGTTTTCACTTGTTCCAAGCAGCTCGGGCTTCCGGACAGATAGTGAAAGACCACGCTTACAGAAAGGCAGTCCTGATCTTTATTATCAAGGTCTTACAAGAAGGCATCACTCTCTTTCACACCTCCCCTCTGTAAACCCCGACCAGAGACAAGCACAGCACAGTGGGTTTTGACCGGCTGGAAGAATAACAACAGAAGCCAACCGGGAATCGTAAAAGAGACTTACAGCAAATGCTGGTGGACGGGAAGGGGAGCGCTTCTCAGCAAGCAGCTCACCGGATTTATATCCCTGATTATATGAGGAACCATTGCAGAAGCCACATCGTGTTGAATTGGTCACATTAGTGTGGATGGAAACTGTGGGATATTTCTGCCTACTGGCAGAAATCACAGCACATTCTGTGGTCCCTGACCATTTGATCCTTCTTGAGGGGGAGAACAACTGAAGAAATGTTCTTGGACGCTGCTCAGCTTAGGAGGCTGCCTGACACAGCCCTTCAAATACCCAGTCTATGTGTATTTGTGTGCTAAGCAGGGGTCATTTCCTGCAGGAGCGCATAGGAGCGGAGCTCCAGCAGTAAAGAGCCCAGGGGGCGGGCACATGTAACAAACCCCACCCCCTGTTCTCAGCAGCCCTCAGTCAGAGCAAGAAGCAGCCAGGTAAGTTGCAGAGTTCGCCCAGGCCCTCCGGTCCAAAACAGTCCAGTGGTACCTTTAAGACCAGGTTTTATTCAGGTACAAGCTCTCCCTCCTCTGTGAGGACAGATCTGCATGTCCCCCCCCCCAATAGCTAGCAATCCAAAACAGTCCAGTGGAGCCTGAGCGGTGGGTGTTGCCTTCTGACACACTTCCGGTGATGTCAGGGGGTGTGGCATATGCAAACAAGATATGCTAATGAGTTGTGCTAATGAGCTCCTGCACCTTTTTTTCTATGAAAGACCCCTGGTGCTAAGGGTCGTAAAGTTGCTTCTGACTTACGGAGACCCAATGAATTAAGGACCTTTAAAACATTTTATTGTTAATACCCAGTTGCCCTAATAATTTGTAAAAGGCAATCTTAACAACAGATTTAACTACAGGGAATCTGTGGAGACCTCAACCCTATCAGCTAAAGTGGCTTTTTCCAGTTGTGCCTTTTTCCAGTACAAGAAGAAGAAGAAGAGAAGAGATTGGATTTATACCTCACCCTTCACTCGGAGTCTCAGAGCAGCTTACAACCTCCTTGAGAGCCAGTTTGGTGTAGTGGTTGAGTGCGCGGACTCTAATCTGGGAGAACCGGGTTTGATTCCCCACTCCTCCACTCACACCTGGCTGGATGACCTGGGGCAAGCTGTAGTTCTGATAAGAGCTGTTCTTGAAAAAGAGCAGTTTCTGTCAGAGCTCTCTCAGCCCCACCTGGCTCACAGGGTGTCTGTTGTGGGGAGGGGAAGGGAAAGGAGTTTGTAAACCACTCTGAGACAACTTTGGGTAGTGAAGGGCGGGGTATAAATCCAATCTCTTCTTCTCTTCCCCTTCCCACAACAGACACCCTGTGAGGTAGGTGGGGCTGAAAGAGCTCTCCCGCAAACTGCCCTTGAGAGAACAGCTCTGAAAAAACTTGTGACTGTCCCAAAGTCACACCAGCAGCTGCATGTGGAGGAGGAGTGGGGACTCAAACCTGGTTCTCCCAGATTAGAGTCCGCGCTCCTAACCACTATACCAGACTGGCTCTCCAACCGGACCCAACACTCAAGCAAGGGGTCACATCCCCACGGGCAGAGAGAAGGTGCACAGGTTCCAGCAGGTATCCTTGAAGCAGTCCCAGGCCACAATTTTTCTCGTCACAGATGAAGGAAGAAGCTGAACTGCGGCCAAGCAAAGCAGCAAAGGTTGAAGCAGACGAGTAAACATCCACTTGAGGTTTCAGGCCTCACCAGATATTAGGTCTGCAGGACCCAGCAGCTTCGTCAGGGAGCTTTTCAATCTATTTTCTTGTTCTCGCCCAGAACACAGCTCCCCATGCCCCGTGCCTGTAGAGACATTTGTGTAAACAAAAGCTTCCTGTCGCCTTTTTGGCCGCTGCGCACCAAGCACCCAACTGAGCTGGCAGCGTCACAAGGATCGATGCACCAAGACTTTGGACGGCTCCGCCAGCCACAGACTACCTGCAAGTGCTTGGGCCCATTCCATTTCAGCACGGGGATCTGGCCCCACGACTTTGCGGTTCAAGTGGGGACTACGGCAGGCCTGCAGCGAAAACCCCAAAGAGGAGTACGGCAGGATGAGGCCAGGCCCTCCACACACACTCTCTGCCAGGCCCTGCCAAGTCGCGTCTCTGATGGAGCGATAACAGAGCCCAGCCAACGGGAGCAGACAAGTCCAGCCCTCGGGGACACCACATCACATCCGCTAGCTCTGTGGGCACAGCAAAGAGCCCTGCCACTGCCTTCCGCCTCTATTAGACTCCAGCTGCTTATCACACTGGCGGAGGAGGGGGGAAAGAAAGGATTCACTCCTCTGTTCCACACCAAGGCACAAAGGGCAAACGCTCCCCAGGTCCCCACCTGCCTCAGCCACCTCAGCAGGTCTGCAGAGTTTCTAGTCCTCAGGAAGCCCCCCAAGTGCAGACACACGCAAATCTTTTCAGACGGCCCCTTAACAAGACAATGCACAGCAGCCTCTTTAAAAAAAAAAAAAGAGAGTGGTGATTTTTTAAAAGTTATTGGTAATCGGAAAAAAGGGAAAGGGAGGGGGGATATGCAAGAAGGATAATTCACTACGAAGTTTCCAAAGAACACAAAAGAAGGCTTATCCTTCCACACTGTTATAAGCAAAGCCCGTCTTTCCGGGACCTTATTTCTTCTTGATTTATAACTCTGTTTTGATGTCCCAGTCTTTTGTGGCCCAGGAGCCGCTTACCAAGGCCAGTGAAGGCAAATACTCTGCTCCTCTGCCGTCCAACAAAGCCGGCCTTGTACGCCTTTACAGCAATCCCCTGGAAAGTAGGTTTCAGGCTTCTACCCCACCCCCCAACTCACTTCCAATACCCCACTGGGAGACTTGAACGGAGACTCTCCTTGCAGTTCACCAGGTTTGCCCTAACCTGGATAGCCCAGGCCAGCCTGATCCCATCAGCTCTAGGAAGCTAAGCAGGATCCGTTCTGGTTAGTACTTGAATGGGAGACCACCAAGGAAGTCCAGGGTCACTACATAGAGACAGGCAATGGCCAACCACCTCTGTTCTTCTCCTGCAGGGTCACCATAAATCAGCTGCAACCTGATGACACTTTCCACCACCAGCCCCCCAAAGGTACTTACCCCCAAGAACCTGCCAGGACCCTTTCCGCTGATTATCTGACTGCCCACCCACTGCCACCCTATTCTTGACCATCCTTCAGGGTGCCACCTGCTTCCCACATTGCTCTTCCTAATCACTCCACCAACCCCATCACCAGCATATCAGACTAGTACCCAGGGGGACTTGGGTTCAAATCCCCACCAAGAGACTTTAGACCAGTCACTCTTCTAAACCTAACCCACCTCACAGGGCTGTTGTGAGGACAACATGGGGAAAAGCCACAAACACTTTTGTGACCTCCATGGAGAAAGAGAAGGATGCAAATGCACTCAGCAAGTAAGAAGCAAATCTTGTTCCACAAACACCAGCACAGACAGGAAAAGCTCTCCCTCCCAGTTCAGAGCTTGGATTCTAAAGAAGTCAGGGCTGAAGCTCGCTTCAAAATAGCATCCAGTGACCAGGATGCTCCATCCTCTCAACCCGAGCATACAGCTTTGGTTACTCAAACGGGAAAGACACTCTGTCGATGCTCAGAGACACTCCCTCCTTTAGCCCCACAGAAGCATTTGCAGTAAAAGCCGGGGCCAGCGCCCAGACCTCTGCTCTCATCCACCCTCTCTCCCAGGGGACCTACCTTGCAGTTCACCCGCTTTCCCTCGCCCACCAGCTGGGGCCGATCCGGCTCAAACACTTCCCGTCGCTTTGCTCCCAGCCCCGTGTCAGCTGCTGGCCGTCACCTTAACCCCGCCCCCTCCTGGTCAACGCCATCAAGACCCTCCGCCAATTACCGGCGAGATCTGCAGATTTCTCGCCAGAGGGCGCTGCGGTCAGCCAATCAGAGGGCGCCGTTGCCTTGATTATTCACCGGGCTGTTCCAGGCTTGGCTTTCTCCTCCCGCCGCGGTGCTGGAAACCCAGCTGAGTTCCGGGCAATGCGTGACGTCGCCGCCGTCGGTTTGAGCCTAAGGAGGAGGCGGGGGGAGGTCATTAAAACGGAGCCAAATCCCGGGAGAGGCGGCAATTCAGAAAGGGAGACTGTTTGCGTCTATATTGGAGGAGGCTAATCCGAATTGGGAGTGGCAAATTAATCTGCGTGTAGAAACTTCACATTGGAAAGTTGTTTTTTCCCTCATCTTGGTGCCTGTAGGGCTAGTTCTTTTTTTGGTTTGTTTTCCTTTGCAAAACTTTTTTGTTTAGGGTTGCCAGCTCCGGGTTGGGAAATGCCTGGAGATTTTGGGGAGGGAGCCTGAACGGAGTCGGGTTTGGGACATAGTGCCCTAGAGTTCAACTTGCAAAGCACCCATTTTCTCTAGGTGAACTGATCTCTATTGCTTGGAGATCAGTTGTAATAGCTGGAGAGCTCCAGCCACCATCTGGAGGTTGGTAACCAATATGTTCTGCTTGCAAATATCTGGTTCAGTTTTCCAAGTTGGGTAAAGGGCTATGTTTCCCTTACGGATAGACACATTTCTTGATTTTAATGTCAAGCCAATAGGGAGGAGAGAAAGAGGGGCTGTGGCTCAGTGGTAGAGCATCTGCTTGGCATGTAGAAGGTCCCAGGTTTAATCCCCAGCAAATTGCAGTTAAAAGGAGCAGGCAGTAGGTGACGGGGAAGACCTCTGTCTGAGATCCTGGAGAGCCGCTTGCCAGTCTGAGTTGACAATACTGACCTTAATGGAACCAGTGGTATAGTTCAGTAGAGGGCCGGTTCATGTGTTCAAGAACCTGTGTGGTGTAGTATCAGACTGGGAGCTGGGTGTTCCCTCTAAGCTGAGTTAGTGTGAGCTAGCTTACAGTTTTTTAGCCTCCGGCTCAGACATTTTTGTCTTCGCTCAGGAAGGAGGGCTCCAGAGCAAACTAACTGATGCAGTAGCCAAATTGCTCCCTCACAACTTTAATGCCAGCAGCTCACAAGACTCCACAGCTTAGAGGGAGCATTGGCTGGGAGACAAGTTGTTAACAGTTGTGGGGGTCAAGAGCACAGTCCACATAATGTCTTTAATTAGGACCATCCCCATTGACACATAATAGCTTTTTAGTTCCCCAGAAGTCCTCATCAGAACTTTTTGAGTTACCCAGGCCAGATGTTAGCAACATCTAAAGGGGGGGGCAGTACTTAAAGTTTTAGGGCATTGTATTAAGACCTCCTCAAACCAGCGTAGGGCATCTTTCCTGACAGGCAGAGAAGAACAGGTGAAGCTGCCTTATACTGAATCAGGCCACTGGTCTATCACTGTCAGTATTGTCTGCACAGACTGGCAGCGGTTCTCCAAGGTCTCAGACAGAGCTCCTTCACAGTGACAGTCAGAAGTGCGATTGAGTTTTAATGTCTATTATTGTTTAAGTTTTCTAACTTGTTTAATTTTAATCGTATTTATTGTACTGTTTTTATGGTGTTACTTGCCCTGAGCCGGCTTGTGGGATGGGCGGGCTATAAATCCAAATAATAATAATAATAATAATAAATCATCCTTACTGGAGAGGCTGGGGATTGAACCTGGGACCTTTCTGCATGCCAAGAAGATGCTCTGCCACTGAGGCACAGCCCTTCCCTAATCAGGCTGCTGCAGGCCAGGGGCTGGGAGACCTGGATTTAGACACCTGCCGTGAAGCTTGCTGAGAGATCTTGGGCCAGGCAACCTCACCTGCTTGAAGACATTTTATGAGGATAAAATGGGGGAGGGATTGTATATACCACCCTCAGGTCCTTAGAGAAAGAGCTGGAATTGTTTTAAAAGCATCATGTTGTTGTTGTTCAGTCGCACAGTCGAGTCCGACTCTCTGCGACCCTGTGGACCACATCACACCAGGCCCTCCTGTGTCCTAAAGCATCATGCTTTAAAGCTAAATATAGATTGTGCAGAAATTCCTTCCGGGTGGGTAGCCACATTGGTCTGCAGTCGAAGAACAAGGTTTGAGTCCAGGGGCATCTTAAAAGACCAGCATGATTTCCAGGGTAGAAACTTTCCAGTCAAAGTTCCCTTCATGAGGTACAAGTGAGAAGTTTCCTGCTTGTATCTGATGAAGGGAGTTTAGTCTCTCAGAAGCAACTCTTGCTGGTCTTTAAGGTACTACTGCGCTCAAATCTTGGGCAAAAATTCCTTGGAAAACGAACTGAGTCCCAAGTGGGGCTGAAAGGCAATGTAGTGCCAGACTAGGATCTGCAGGTTCCAAATTCAAATCCCCCCCCCAACATGGAAACTTACTGAGTGCCCTTGAACCTATCACACCTACTCAATCTAATCTACCTCACAGGGTCGTTGTCAGGGGTCATTTAATACAAAAAGAGGTGCAGGAGCTCATTAGCATAACTCATAACTCATTTGCATATGCCACACCCCCTGACATCACCGGAAGTGTGTCAGAAGGCAACACCCACGGCTCAGACTCCACTGGACTGTTTTGGATTGCTAGCTGTTGGGGGGGGGGAACGTGCAGATCTGTCCTCGCAGAGGAGGGAGAGCTTGTACTTGAATAAAACTTGGTCTTGAGGGTGCCACTGGACTGTTTTGGGCCTGGGGGCTAGGGTTGCCAAATCTAAATCACCCGGGAGCGGGGGGCTCCCGGACAATGTCGGGGGTGTGTGTGCGTGCACCGCGCGTGCGTCACTGGGGTTTCCCCTGGGCCCCGATTCCGGCGCGCCGGAAATCGGTGCTCCGAAGTGGGGGATTCCCCGCCCCCCCCCCGACTGCATTTGGCAGCCCTGCTGGGGGCTCTGCAACTTACCTGGCTGCTTCCTGCTCTGACTGAGGGCCGCTGAGAGCAGGGGGTGGGGCTTGTTGCAGGAAATGACCCCTGGTGGTTGTGAGTATAAAATGGAGGAGAGGAGAACGATGTAAGGCACTTTGGGTCCCCACTGAAGAGAAAGGAAGGGTATGAATGAAGTAAATAAGGAATAAAGTAAATGTTGTTTCATCAAGGGGCTGCTGGGGTCCCAGGAGGGTCCGCCCCTGCAAATCTCCTTAACAGGAATCTGTGGAGAGACCTCCTGTTTCCTGTGGGCAGGGCAGGGCTGTTTCTTTTGGCCCTGCAAATGCCTAAGGGAGTGTGAAGTATTCACTTGTGCATATGAGCAAGGGGGTGTGTGGCATGTTTTTCTTTTTAACTTTTTTATTGACTATAAAGTCAACAAGCAATGGTGAAACATTAAAGTAACAAATAAAGTGATGACAGCACAGTAAAAAGATCTAAATGGCATGAAACATGGGGGATATCTCTAAGACTGTATAGTCCATATATTAATATTACAGTAAATAAAACATCAGGATTACTGCCAGATACAAGGTTTAAAAATGTTTCAGAACAGTATACTTACCAATACAGCTAGGAAGCTTCATTTAGTATTGTGTGAAAAAACAATGTAAAGTTAGATTAAACTAATATCAAAACTGAGGTGTGTGGCATGTTTAATGGGGGGGACGCTGGAAGTCATCTTTCCAGGCCCCCCACCTGGAGATGTCCCTGACTGATTGCATTTGCATGAATAAACATGCCTCGTGCACTGCAGTCCTATGTAGAGTTATGCCAGTCAAATCCCATTGAAATCAATTGACTTAGACTGGTGTAACTCTGCAGAGGAACAGGGTAAAGTGAGAACAGCGCTGTTCTGTTATTCCAGAGGAGAAAACTCTGAGAGTGGCACGTGGTGGGGTCTGAATAGGGTTGCCAGCTCTGGGTTGGGGAAATACCTGGATATGGGGGGGGCGGAGCCTGGGGAGGGTGGGGTTTGGGGAGAGGAGGGACCTCAGCAGGGTACAATGCCAGAGAGTCCACCTTCCAAAGTAGCCGTTTTCTCCAGAGGAACACATCTGGAGATAAATTGTAATAGTGAGTGGGCTCCAGGTGCCCCCTGGAAGTTGGCAACCCTAGGTCTGGGTGTGGCTGGGACAGCTGCCCTGGGCCTTTCATTGTGACCCTCCCCCCGGGGTCTGAAACGGCAGAGAGGCGAGATAGAAATGCTTTAAATAACATGAGGGAAAAACAACACTTGTATGACGTGGAGGGATTCAACAGGTGTAATCCTCATCATTGCGGCTTCTCTGGGCTGCGGGGAAAAGCTGTACCTGTTGAATTTCTGCCAGCTCTGCTCCTGTTAAAAGCACTGAATCCCCAAAAAGATGGAGAGAAGTCACTTCGGAACATAAGAGAAGCCAGGGCTGGATCAGGCCAATTGCCCATCTAGTCCAACACTCTGTATCACACAGTGGCCAAAAATACCAGGTGCCATCAGGAGGTCCAGCAGTGGGGCCAGGACACTGGAAGCCCTCCCACTGTTGCCCCCCCCCAAGCACCAAGAATATAGATAGTTCCTATCTATACCTTGTGGCTAATAGCCACTGATGGACTTCTGCTCCGTATCCTTATCTAATTCCCTCTTGAAGTCTTTTCTTGGCCCTGAAGCTCATTAGCCAGGCTTCCCCCCCTTCCCCCCCCTTCATTTGCAACGCTTCACTATTGGTTAAGCAGTGTGGAAATTGTTAGTGATTTGCAAACATGCTCTGCAGAGACTGAGCTTGCGAAATATGTAATTACAGAGGGTGCCTGTGGCAGAGACTTTTGCTGGGACAGGGCTGACATCGAAGGCGTTCCTTGCTTACCGGGGAATCATCACCTCAAAGTAAGATCAACTGAAGCACTATTTTTAAAATCTTACATTCCTCTTGCGTACATTTTCAGCCTGTGCTGACGTTGTTATCTGGATGGCACAA